GTGGAATCGTCGTCATCCTTGATGCTGTAAAGTACAGCTATACTGTATGGCCTTTTACTCGTGGTCAAATCTTCAATATATTCTGGTCTTACGTTTGTCAAGGCAATTAAATCTCCAACCTCTGGTTCATATACTCTTTTGTCTTCCTCACTTCCACTCCTCAATCTTTTCAATGTCATGGTATAGAACAAATCTTTGGGAAGTCTGAAATCTTTGTCAGGGTTGACATCAAATATTTCACGTGCAGGTGGACGACTCTTAGGAGTAAAACTTGACCGCAGACTAGCATGTGTTTCTTCTAGAAGAGGGTCGTTGAATGACTGGAGATAGTGTTCTGCTGTATAGAATGTCTCCGGAATTGGCTCGACCTTTCAAGATAAAATGTTTGAAGCCATTTAAAGTGTTGGATCAGTGGCAACTGGCAACCATATTACAGATTATGCAATAATAAATAAAATGAAATTATGTCCAACCAACGTCGTGTTGGAAATTGGTTATTTAATAAGTTGGTTTTGGCTAATTTTGATCAATTATTTAAATGGGACCCGTTAATCAAATATCAGAGTTCTTTGGCCAAATGTGTTCTACTCTTTGAGTAGATCGTTGTAGTGTATTTACTTCCTTAAAATCAATTTCAGGTAAATAAGAAGGAATGTCAAAAGAAAGCCATTCGAACTTGGAAATTAAAGTAGGATAAATGGTGAAAATTTGAAAAAAGTCGTATCCCATATAGGAAGATGAAAAGTCGTTTAACCACTTTAAGCATTGTTTGTCTCCTATTCTTTTAAAATTTTTTGTTCTACATACTCATTTTCAACCACACATTTACACAATAAAATATTCAACATACAAACCTGGAATTTTTGTTTACTTTTTAATTACACATTCTTTAAAAATTCACTATTCAAAACAATATTTTTCCAAATAAATGACTACCAAACAAGGGCTAAATATCTCAAGTTTAATGCTTGAATTTACCACTAGTTTTTGAAATGAGTGGACCCACCACATGTTAGTGACTCAGGGCTAAAGCCAGCCAACTATGGGAAAATTAGGCTCAATGCCCTAAAAAATTATCTAATTTGATTAATACTCTATTAATTAATTAAATCATTTAAGCGAGTAATTAATACGTTCTAAAACTACCAAAACCCCCAAAACCCAAATCAGTAGTCCCGATTTCCATGACTCTGCTTTTCCTCCCTACTGTTTTTCTCGATTTTGTATCGAGAAATTCTTACCAAAACTCCTAAATTCTTACTGCTACAACTACTGGACCACTAAAAGTCCTAAATCATATAAACCATATTGCAGAAAAACCCTCACCCGACTCAAATCATGGCTGGAGAAAGTGAATCTAAGGTGATGAAGAGAAAATCAAGTGTTATTGAAGAAGAACTTCAAAGAAGAAGAAAAAATTTCCTCCGAAGTTTATAAACATAAGATTAGTCACAGTTTTAAACTTTTTTATGGTTTTTATTCAATTTTATGTTGTAATCTTTGATGATTTTGTGAAGAATCTGATTGTTTATTTCATTTCTAAGTTGCCATTATTATGTGATGTTGTTGAAACTTGCATAAGTCTATCAGTCTCCATCTTTCACTGTAAAAGGAGGCGCTCTTCTTCTTTATGTGAATGGTAGATGGCTAAGTAAATTACTGGAATGTGGGATTTTGAAAGGCTCGTAGTAGTTGCTTTTTTTATTCTGTAGAGTTTTGATGTTGTTTATGTATAAGCTTTGTAGATGAATTTTTGTGATTTATATGAACTTCAATAGGCAATCCTGCAGATTTGAATGAGTTGAATAATTATTTGGCTAGCAATATCCCTTAACTCCAGCACTTTCGAGCTAATTGATTCAAAACCTTGTAGTTGAAGCACTTGTCTCTTTGTTATATTTATCCTATATTTTTATATCCTTACCATCAATATGTGTTTCTTGGTCCATTTTTCCACATTGTTTTAACTTATTTATATCCTTACATTTGTTTATTTGAAATGACTTCAACAAAACTTGCTAGGAATGTTTTGTTTTCGATTGGTGTTTTGTCACTTTTTCGAATGTTTGCAGTTTTTTTTAATAACTTTTTGTCACTTTTTTTGAATTCATGTCACTTTTTTAGTGTTTGTTACTTTTTTCTATCACATTTTTTTATTTTTTGTTAATTTTTTATTTAAATTCCTATCACTTTTTTAGTAACAAATATCACTTTGTAATTAAAATGACATTGTATTCACTTCACTTTTTAATGAAAGTAATATTATATATCATTTCTTTTAATTAAAAAGTGATATTAAAAGTGATTACACTTAACTTTTTATTAAAAAGTGGTACAATTCATCTCAAAAATGATCGGCGTTTCGTCACTTTTTTTTAGTGTTGTCACTTTTTCGAGTTCTTATCATTTTTTTTAATTTCTGTCACTTTATTGAATTGATTCCAAAATTTTGATTGATGTTTTGTCACTTTTTTTTAGTCGTTACTTTTTAAATTTCTGTCAATTGATTAAATTGATTCTAAGGCTTTGATTAGTGTTTTGCCACTTTTTGAATGTTTATCACTTTTTGGAATTTTTATACATTTTTATAATTTTTTCACTTTTTTCCTACCACTTTCTTAAAATTTTTGTTACTCTTTTTTAATAACAAACATATCATTTTAATAAAAACGAGATTGTATGTCATTTTTTAATAAAAA